CAAACATCAGATGCTATGTTTTCATGGCCATCCCTCCAAATGCTTGGAATGTTAGCAATAACTGATTCTTTTCATAATTTGGCTGTGCACTCTATTATTTATTTATCCCCTAAAAAAGGAAAGTTTCTTAAATATTTGATGTCACCATCTTCAGAATCTCCACTGTCCCTAATCTGGCTGTCCTTGATTGTTGTAAATTCCATGGTGCGCAGCCTGTGAATTACAATTCTCCCATTCTAGCTACAAGGGAGTTTATGTATCTATACTGGCTAGAGTTCTCCATCAGAATCAATGCAGTGTTTGTGATTAATTTTTATTAGAACATGATTACAGCCCCTGATTGTAAGACGAAGGTCCCAGGTTCACTCTTTTGCATTCTCATTTTAAAAGAGCATGATAAAAAGCTTTGCCTGACACTGGACGTTACTGGGTCATTTCGACAAATGACCTTCCTCTCTAATTCCAGGTCAGGTAGAAAAGAATTTTAATTTCAATCCATCTCTGACTGTCATATGGGATATCCCCCCCCAGGACACCAACCTTCTAATCACTTCGTTCAAGTCTTCTCTTCATTCCCTGAAATGTATGTATTCAAGGATAAACAATAAAGTATTTTATCATTGTAGCAGGCAGAAACACTCTGTACTTTCACTGCTCCATAGCAGGACACGGTATCTTGCTGATGAGACAGTTAAAATAAAGGTGCCACCACACCACTGAATGCACTGGAAATGCTCTCAGGTTGAGCTGACCTGCATCTCAGTTGGAATCAGTAGCTTTCCCTGCTTTGATCACCCTTCTTTCAACTTCAAAGAACAGCAGTAATGTTGTCAAAAAGCCAGATTAGAGGCAAAGTTCTGGGTCTGATTGCCATGGAGTTTTGTAGGCTATACAGTATATATTCAGGGCCCTTTTCATCTGTCTTGTGATGCATTCAGTTATTGCCGGAAACTGAGGGCAATGTTCAGTTCCGAACATGTCCAGTTAGGGCAGCCTTCCCTAACCTATCCCCGCCAGACTGGACTAGAATTTTAATAATCCCATGCTTACTGGGAAGTAGGGGAGCTATGATCCAATGCATGTGGATAGCACCAGGTTGGAGGAGGCTGAGTAAAAGTCGGCATAGCTGGAATGGGGAGGGGAGAAGGACAAAACCCTTAGGTCAGGATTTTTGGAAAGATATTAGCATGCCTTTTTCAACTTTTATGAACTTGATTTGAAAAAAAATCCAGGGTAAATGAGAGCCAGTTGTCTATTTAAAAGCAGATTAAAAAAAAATTAAGCATGAAGTTTAAAAAGCTGAAAATGAAACCTAATTACATATTTTAAAAATTGATATGTTTCAGTTTATTGGATTACCTCCAGTATTGTCCACAGAACAACAAAGTTAAAATCTGAAGTTTAAAGAAAAAAGTGGGATGGAATTATTTTCACTCCATTCTCCTTCCCTGGTGCAACTTTCCAGTGTACCGGAAAGCCAGAAGGACTCTCAGAACAGGGCGGACAGTGGATTTTAGGCGTGGCGGGAGAAAATCACCTGCCACTCCCTTGTTCTGACAGAAAGCATCTAGTAGAGGTAGGTCTGGCCCTCACCCAGTTTATTTGATAACAGGATTGCACACCGAGAAAACGCTTTCAATTTTATAAAAGCAAATAAAAGCAGGAGTGAAGCTAGAGTGCAGAGAAAAATGAAACAGTAAAAATGCATGGCTGAAGCCATACCTTTCACTGAGCCAATGTGTGGGTTGCTTGGTTTTGATTTAGTGTAATATGCAAATGTAACCATTGCAGGGAGCAGCAATGTCTGCAAGGGATCAAAACAGTCAAGATGGTGGGCACGACTGTGCAACTGAAGCCCCACCCCTTTTTACATTTATCACATGTACAATGCATTTTAAAAAGGGTCAGGGCTTCAATCTTGCCAGTGTGACTGCTATCTTTTTCTACTGCCCTGCTCCTGCAGATGCCCCTGGCAGGGAGTCATTCTGACCTTGGATGGGTGTGCCAGAGGATGCAGTCCAAAAAACAGAGACATGAAAATAATAAAATTGATTTCATTTATATTTCAAATGCATTAGAAATAACTCAATAGGTGAAGCAAATTTACTTCCTGTGTAGTTTTTTCTTTTTTTCTTTTATAATTGGGTGGTTTTTGTGGGAGCTTCAGCCAAGGCTCTTATGTTGTCTTGGGGCATGTCCAGCTCTGCCATGAGTCCCTGTATCTTGTTCTACATTTCTCCTGATCCTGAACTGCATGAAAGGAATGGTTTCCTGTTAGGTAACATTAGGCCAGTAACTGTAGCAATACAGCTGGAAACATTAATACAAATACAATGTGATTGTGTAAAATAACAGACTCTGGGATGGTTATACCCCCCTATATTTAAAGAGGGGCTGTGCAGAAATCCTGGCTTTTCCTTCCACTTCAGCATACGAATAGCAAGAGATTGTCCTAAGTACAGTACAAACAATATAGTTGCCCAATCATGTGCTCTAAGAACTTCTTCAAAACCTATAAACTTCAATACCAAAATGACAAGAAATCTCAGCAGGGCATATACAGCCTCTGTCACATAAAGCCAGTTCAGTGGAGTCAGAGTCCCTTTGGGTCGGCAGTGGAAACTTACCTTTTCCAAATACGATGAACACATAAGCCCAAGGGCTGAATGCAGGATTGCTGAGATCAGGGCTATTCTGGGGCAGACAAGTTATGTCCTGCTGATAGGAAAGGATTAATGAGCTGGTCGGCTCATTCGTTGCAATTAGAAACAACACTCAAACTATTCCGGGGCTATTTTGATGGCAAGAAGTTGAACAGCAGCTTATCAGAACCCAGCTACTTGTAAGGCTTCATGTAAAATGAGGGATGATGTAAATATAGGATGATAAAACCAGGGACAAGCACTAAACTGGTTCCTCTTTTAGAAGGCAAATGGGCTATGTATTAACTGATACACAGACATTTCCAAGGAGGACAGGTTTAGGGAGCAGACCCAGAAGGAATTGGGGGACAGGGGGTGGAGCTTGTATTATTTGACTGAAGCTCACGTTGCAGCTGTTGTTTTAACTCCTATGGGGAACAAGAAGGTTGAATCTAGGAAGTGCTGCACTGAGGACTTCAAAAACTGGGGGGGGGGGGATATACCTTTGCACATCTCTTTTTCTAAAAGAGAGTTATGGTTAGAGGAGCTTGTTCTCCATGCCTGCATGCTTTTGACAAGGAAGAGCCCTTGTCAAAATAACCTATCTTGTCCAGTATCCTTCTTCCAATTCATGATCACCAATCAGATGCTTCTAGAAAACAGCCATGAGATTAGGGAATGCTTGATTCTGGATGTAGTGATCTTGCAGAAAAACAATGGTACAGGTCTATTCCACTTTATTGTTTAACTCTTACCACTGAGATTCAAGAAGAATGAATGAAAATATGCCAAAAGGAGGATAAAGAAATTGGTGAAAGACCTTGTAAGCAAGTCCTATCAACAAAGATTGATGAGATCGCCAAATTTTCTGAGATTTCAGTTTATCACCCTGAAGATTTCCCAAGATCTCTTGTTGAGGATGCCAAACTTTCATGAGGTTAAAAAAATCTTCTGAGATGCTTTCAGCCATTTTAATTTATATACATATACCATATATGTATACATGCATATCATATTAGAGTCCAACTGATGTTCAGATATCTAGAAGCACTATGTTGGCAACCTTTCTCCTAAATAGCAGCCATAGCATCTGAACCAAACAGCACCAATTACAAATGCTTGGGATGATGCTTTGGGACAGTTTTCCAGGGACACCGACTCCCCTGTTTTTCTTTTACTTTATTCCTATCAATAGCTTTCCTGGAGTTGATGGTAAGCAGTAATACAGTTGGGTGGTAACTCACTCTAAAACTTTGATCTTCCCCAGCAATTTCAGGTAGAAGTTGAACAGCATGCAGAACAAGAGAAAGCCCCTGAGATACCATAGATCAGTGATGGTGAACCTTTTGGGCTCAGTGTGTGAAAAATTCAGAAAATGCCTAACTTGATTCTGCTAGCATGTCACACACCTTTCCCCCTGAACAAAAGAGAAACAATTCTTTACATATTCATTTATTTAAAAAAAAAAAACAGTCCAATCATGTGTGGTGCTATGTATTATATAAAGAAATGTCAAATAATTACAAAAACGAAAGTAAAATAAACTCAGTTTCTTTGTTAACTCAAACAGGGAGAATAGTTGTTGGGTGTTGGTGAATGCTGGCATGTCACCCCAAACGTCGCGGCATGTCACCTTTGATATGCATGTCATAGGTTCACCATCACTGCCTTAGGTCAATATGTTGAACAATGATTCCCTAGCACCACCTTCAGGACATGGCCTGACTGGAATCACTGTTGCTTCTAGGGCTTTATCCACCAGGCATCCAGAAGGATATTGTAGTCAGTAGTATCAAAAGCCATCAAGAGATTCAGGAGAACTGGCCGGTCCACGTTCTCTCCATCAAGTTTCCAGCCTCCCCTAATCACAGGCCAGTCCCATATCTAAAAGCCTATCACACAAGACAGTGATATAGAAGATATCTTAACTGCTTCATCATCAATCCATTGTCTATCCTGATTGATGATGTTGGAAATTAGAAACAAGCACCTGGGAAGTCACAGGCTCCCTATTCCTGACATCAGGAAAAAATAAATAAATTTAGAAGTAAGTTCCAGCATTTAGAAGTCCATCCTTGGCTAACATTTCTCCAAAAGCCAAGAAGAAGTTTAGTCAAAGAGAGTTCCTATAATTTAAATAGTGTATGCAAATTAACTTACCCATGTTTTCAGGAAGCAGCTATCTTCATGCAAATCAGGAGCTGATCATTCTTAGTCTTTTATTATACAGTACATTCCCCTTTGAGAGGAGGAAATTGGGAGAGAAAAAAACTGCCACTATTCAGAAAAAGGCAAAATATATAATCAATTCTTGTAGAAAAATATTTTAATAAAATGCATCAAATATCAAGAAAATATATGTTTAATAATAACATTGTTTGGCAAAAGTACACAGTTACATACATGTCTGGGATCCACATACATAAGTCTTCTACCATACCTCCTTTCATTTCATTCAGTATATATACTTTTTTAAAAATTAAAAAAAAACCTCACTGCAACTACAATGCTTATCCAAATCAGTTCTACTAACAGTAGATATTTCCCTATTTCTTCAAAACTGATCTTAATAGAAGGCACAACTTACCATCAAGTTTTCTGTGCACTCCATTGAAATGAATGAAAGGGGCACAAAAGGACTCATTTGAATGGCACTTACATAGCACTTTATTCTGCCAAACCTTTCCATCAACCAATAGTAGGATTATGCTGTAAAATGGGAGCCCTCATAGATGACTATTTAAGAAAAACTAGCACTGCTAATGAAGTCAGTGGTAAAGCAGGATTTACAAAGTCTGATTTCACACTGACATGACCAAGATGAAAAATAAAACATAGATATTATTCCAAAGTGAAAGGGACTGAAAGACAAAAGGACTTCCCCCAAGGAGATTCAAACAGTTACTGAACATGGGTATTCAATTTATTGACAATAAAATGATAACAGGCAAACAAAGAATTAGATGATTTCCTGAGAATGAGTAGTCCTCAGATTACAACTTCATGAGAGATGCCTCCATTTTATTTCTGCCTTTACTTCTTCCCCATTTAGGAATCACATAAATACAACTGTATTGGGTTCTTTTGGACATTTAAATAGCTCTAATGGTGCAAAATGAAAACTGAATTAGTTAATGATAAGTCTGCACTATGACTTCTTATGCTGCCACTTCACTCCTTAACTGGAGATGCCAAACCTAAAAAAATGACATGACGTTTCTGCACATTTCCAACCTTTTATCTGCTTTGTGATTCTCCCATCTGTTATGCAGCCACCTGGGAATCAGTGCACACATTCTACCAGTGTCAGAATTACTCCCTCGTGTGAATTAAAAACGGGCAAAAAAGAAAAAAAATCCCAAGAAGCAGAGACATCTGCACATGTGCATTCCCTGAAATGACTGATACTTTCCTCCCTTATGGCTTCTCTTTTCCCTGCTTTGCATTTACACTTCAGAAAAATAAAGTCAATTCCCTGAGAAATATTGAAGTTGAGAACTTGCCAAATACCTTTCAGATGGAAAAAAGAAAAGAGAAGAAATGGGAGAAGAAAGTGCATTTCAGGAGCCTGTTGCCTTCTTGAGACCTGATGGGAGCCCTTGATGAAAAACTCGTCGGTAGGTCCTGTCGCTGCCATCCGTTTTGGCTATTTGTTCTGTATGCACTGGGCCACACGCATGCAGAAGTATTGTGTCAATGGTAAGCTGGCCCAAGTGAACATGCTTCTGGTGTGTTGATGCTGCAGGCACACTGACCAGCTGTCAGATGTCATCTTGATCAAGCCAAGACAGTACAGGCCCTCCCTCCTCACGTCATTCCTTCTCTTCTGTGAATACATCTGGGGATATCTCAGATCAGTCCAGAAGTATGCAATTAAAGTGTTGAAGAGAGAAAGCAGCACAGAGGCAAGTCTCAATTTTAGTTCAATATACGACATCTAAACTAGGACAAGATGGTTGTGCCTGAACGAGGCTGCTGTAAGTGAGACAGGAGCCACGTGATACATCATGGATAAATTATCTGGGCAAAACACACGCAGTCAATGCCAGCTCCCCACGCTCTTCCGTACCTATCGCAAGTGGAAAGCTAAACTAGCTAAGTGGTTTTATTAAGGAAATAATAAAAAGGACACACACACACTCACAATTCTAAAACACTTCATTTTATAATCAACTTTTTCTTTACATAAACAGAAACACGCCAGTATTTTGTGCGAAAAAATATTTTAAATAAACTTTGCTTATTCTTGATCTTTGTACATTCTGATATACATATGTAACAAGGTTTATGGCACCATAACTAGAACCAGAAAAGGGGGTGGGGGGGAATAATTGCTTTTGTTGTATTCCTGCTTCTATATCAAGCCAGTCAACTTTGCACTATTTTTAAAAAAATAGTATTATCGGGTAGCCAGCAATAACTGGTTTGAACACTCAAAATGAAAATGCTTTCCATTCCCAAAAACTATTATTGCACAAGAAGCCAATAAAGGCATATGGCATAAAATGGTCAAGTCCCTTGGTGTTTAATGTCCTACTCCACCTACCCATACCCCAAATAGAAAAATAGTACCAGAAGATGAAACACGAGAAATAAAAAGATTTTCTCTAGTCAGAAGGGTGAGAAGTGATTTGCAAATAATTTAAGCTGCACTGATCATCTTTGCACCAGCAAGCATTTTCCTTAGGTTTTCTTTAGTAAAGTCTTTGCAAACTCAAGGCCTGTGGATCTAGTCTTTTTGCTATTATTTTGGCTGGTTGTGTTATTATTTTTTTAAAAATAATATAGCTGTCCTCAGTCTATGAACCTGCACAGACTACTTAGTCATAATCTCTACAAGTAGCTGAACCACCCACCCCCTCAAAAAACAAAAACAAAAACCCTAAATAATGTCCAGGAGGTCTTTTTCTCATTAACATATCAATTTTAAAAAGCTGGTTTCTTTTTAAGCCTTTCTCCTTCATCCATTTCTTTGAGAATAGACTTGCAATGGCATTCTGCACAAAATCTGTGAAGACCTTTCGAAAAAGAGTCTTTTTTTTTTTTTTAATAAGCTTTCTCTAGTAAAGCTGAAAAGAAAAGGATCACCCAAGCCTCCCAGTCTCTGGAAAGTTAAAAAAAAACAAAACACCAGTCCTGTGTTTCTTTGCTGTCACACGACAGTCTCCACTCCAATCAGCTTTGGCGTAAGAATTCGTGGTGTGACTCCATTGTTCAAATCTTCTTCAAACTCCAATAACTGCCCCATAAAATTAAGATTGGGAGAAATGATTGGTCGCTTGCCTTTGACAAACTTATAGGCATCTGTCATAGTCATCCTTGTGTGCTTCATAAGGTAAGCAATGACAATGGTGGCGGAACGGGACACACCAGCCTGGCAGTGGATAAGAAGACCCTTCCCACATTGGTGAGCTTCCTCTGAAAAGATCAGAAAGAAAAGGGAGACATTGACTTTAATAGAGAAAAGGCCATTGAAAGAGATCAAGACATAACTTCATAATGCAGTTCACAGTTTAACATTTCACTGGCCTAATTTAATGCAGGGAGGGGGGGAACATATGAGCATATGATTTAATACACCTTTCCCAGCCTGGTGTCTTCTAGTTGTGGTATGATTACAACTCTGAGAATTCCCAGTGAACATGAGAATTCACTGTATTGGGATGGAGCAGGAGGAGGAAGAGGAAGAGGAAGAAGAATTGGGCATTGTTCAGTTTCACTCTGCCCATCCCATACCTTGTTTGTTTTTGCTAATATACAAATCAATACAGGGTGAAATAAATTCAAAGGATTGCAAGGAAGAATAGCTTAGTTAGTATGTAAGCAACAAATGAGAAGTTAAAGAAACTGAGAAAGAACTTGACAGAGTCATCTTCTTCACTGTACACAGAAGAGTTAAAGAGTAGAAATGAAAGCCCCCAGGCCAAAGGCTTTGCTCATTGAGACTAATGAACACAAAAATTGCAGTTATATGAATCAGCACTGTTGCTTATGAAGTGTCCGAACAGTACAAAGTTCATATACTTTTGAGAAACGTGCACTTTCCTTCTCTCTGTCTCCAGTAAGCAGTTCTAAAGCTTTGTTGGAAAAATGGCCTAGAAGAATCCATTCACCTCTCTTCTCTCCAGCACTCTTCGTTTCAGAACATTTCTGCTATTACAACCTCCCATGAGAGTTCATTAGAGTATTGCTGATAATGCAGAGCAGGCATACGTAGACACATTTTAAATATTATATATAAATTCATGAATTGGTTTAGCAATATATAGCCCAATAGCCCTATACAGTATATTGAACTGTGACAGAAGCTGACCAACATTTAAGACAGGAATTGGGAACTTTCAGGCTGGATACTTGTTGCAGAAACACAACTCTCAGCCTATTTTGTCACGGGGCATGTTGTTGGGGATGCCAGAAACAGTAGTGCAGCAGCATTTGAAAAGCTAAAAGTTCTCCACCTTTCTTTTAAGATGTCCTCTATTTCATGGTCTTTATATGAATCACATACATAAAACTAGCCTACAGACTTGAATGTATACAGGACAGCAATGCAAAGCATTGATAAAATGGTGACTGTCTGAAATGCTCAGTCATGCAATTGCCACACTTATATCCAAAGTAGCGTGGAGAATTTATTTAAGCACTAAAAGAGTAGAGAGAAGAAGGGCAATATCTGAATCCATGATTTGTTTCTTTCCAATTTGTTACTGTTATTATTTTCTATTTCTAATTTTGATGTCGGAAGCAAACTTGAAATGGAAATATACGTCTAGAAAAGATTGGGTACAACTAAGGTACACAAAGAGTGAAGGTCACTACCCTCATACAGCACACACATATTTATGAATGTTCAAATAAGAATCTCCCCCTGCTGCTATCTCAGTGGTCTCGTGTAACTTAACATAAAGGAAGTGTTTCGGTATTGCACACCGCTTGAAAAAAACAGCAGTGTCTTTGAGATTGAATATACTCTCATGTCTTCCCAGGAAGTCATCATCAGGAAAGAAATATCTGCAATCTCCTTTGGCAGTGTTCAAATCCTCTTAACTTTAAATGGGAAAAATCCTACAACTCTATTTATTCTACCACATGGGATGCATTTATAAGAGAGAAGCAATAATAATATTTACAACTGGGATCTTTCCTGGCAAGATTTCTCTCTCCACACACATTTTAAAAGAGACATAAATTCACTATAATTCCTTACACCACTCAAAGCTATCCTAAAGAAATTTACCAGCAAAAAAAGGAAAAAGCCAAGCCAGGATTGTCTCCAGCTTTGGATAATCCAGAATATAACAGTGATAGGTTTTAGGAAGTATCATTGTTCTGCAAGTAGCAATTAATGCCAGTCAACCTTTGTGGAGCCCTACAAAGCTAAACCCTGGTATCCCCTTGCATGTTGGGCAATGCAATAAACAATACAGAATCTTTAATGAACGATCACAAAACTGAGTTTGCTAGTTAAGGAAAAAAAAGGTCAATTTTATTTTATGGCTTTCAAAGACCTTATCTGCCTGTTAAGCAATAAAAGGTCTCTTGGCAAATTCAATTTACTAGAGCTAGAAATTTGCTGCATGTTTCCTTTTCTTCTATAACAAATAGCCACAGTACATTTAAGTTGCTATGTTGTAATGGTCCAGGGCAAATGGGGCAAGGCTCGGATGGTTAGATATGGCTAAAGTTCTTATTTTGCTATCTGGGCTCTAGAAAAATGGATTTGGCCTAGAAGCAAAACACACCTTCAGCTGATGGCAGGACTCATCCTGTTGCCACAACAAAGAGGGAATAGGCTATATTTATTTAGCACTAGGACTATTAAATTGCTAAACAAGAAGTGTGCAACCTGGACCCACAAAGAGTCTTCTAAGTGAAAACTACAAAAGAGGCATATTTACAGAAACAGCAAGTCTACACTTATTCATTATTCCCGTCAATCCCAACTTAATGCCCCAACTTAATGCCCCAAACAAGAAAGCAGTGAGGCAAGCTGAAGGATTTAATCAACTTTTCCCAATCTTGTGCCTTTGGCTGTATAGGGCTTCAACTGTCATAGTCTTTAGCCAGTATGGTCAATGATCATGCTAGCTGAAGGATGAGGAAGTTGATGACTAATACATTTGGCACCAGTTGGGAAATGCTGTCTCAACTTAACTTACCTAGGGAAAAAAAATGTATTTTTCTATTTCCACTGATAAAAGAGCTGCAAGCATTTTAGCTCAATATTATTAGAAATTCTGAAAGCGCAATCCTTGTACCCTTTTAACATTCTGCTCATACCCAAAAGCCAAAATGCATCATGCCAGATACAATAAGCAACGAGGAAGCATTTCTTTGAACAACATACACATATATAATCCTTGGCATGCTACGAAGTCCCAGATTTCTCTTGCTTTGCTGCAGCTCCTCCTTCATAATCTTTCCTAGTCATATTTAACTCTGTCCCATTTATTCACTTTTTCACCAGCCTCTTATCCCAAGCCTACTATACAGGATCATATTGTCTGAGATGCTTGCAGAGCAAATGGCATAAAGTTTGTGTTCTACAGAAATTATCCTTCTTCCTCGAACTATAATCTGGGGAAAAGTCCCTCAGAAGTTTCTTCAGTGTTCTTAATTAAAAGACCAACCATAAAGGACAAGCAGTTTTCAGAGTTGATGGATAAACTGGCTAACTTCAAAAAGCAGCCCTGTGGGATCAAAGGAAGACCAAAGAAAGACCCCATCTAGCCCAGTATCTTAACTCCCATAATCCTGAAATGTTTGTTCACTGTTGCTTTTTAGCAGCTGATATTCTTGTGGCATGCTGCTTCTCATCCTGGAAATAATAAAATGTGATGCATTTAGCCATCAAGACTGCTATTCTCCATGAACGTGCATGAATGTGCATGTAACCCCCTTGGGAATCTATGGCCATAATCACATCTGTGAACCAGATTTGACAGTTTAACCAAGCACTATTATTTTAACATTGTGACTACCATTTCCCAGCTTCTGTAATAGTGAGTTTATGAAGGCAGCGTCCATGTGAGGTGTTTTTTCCCAGATCTCTCAGCACATGGATTGAGTTACTGTTTCTGAGATAACCTGACAACTGATTGTCCCACAACATCCCCACAGTCTCTCACAGGCAGGTATGTTGTACCTTTAAGAGTGTGAGAATATAGAGAAATGATATTAGCAAACATAGCAAACGCAGGATAGCATTAATATAATATTAATAAAGATAGGCCACAATTCCCTGTCAAGCCCATGTTCTACCAAAATAAAAAAAATCTACGTCTTAAAATCCTGCAGGAAAAAGCTGAACACTAGAATTGAGTGATCCATTATTTTGGAAATTCAGCAAAAGATAGATAAAGAGCTCCTGCCCAGAGTAGCCACAATCATCCAACCCTTTGGGCAGACAGAATCAGCTTTATATTTTTCAACCCAGAACTAAAGTCACAAAAGCAGCACTTACGGCAATTTAATCAAACTGGAAACAAAGATAGTTACCAATGAATTCAAAAGCCTCTTCGAAATACTGTCTGAGGTTCTGCTTGTTGCTGTCTGTGGCGGGGAGACGTTTGTAGCTGAACAAACCTTTCTCATAATGGTAGAGAGGGAGGTGAGTGGTGACGTTGATTACGTAGCCAATGTTCAACCTCTGGATCTTCTCCAAGTCCTGAGCATCGTGTTCATTGCCGAGGAAGAGGAAGGGCAAGATGGGGGTGAGCTCAGCGTTCTCAATGTCTGGAGTGGTAGGGATGGACTGAGGTAGTGTACAGGTCACTGCAGCACCTCCGCCTTCAGGACACTCCTGAAGTTGGAGGGAATTATCGCAGAGGTTTTCATGGTTCTGCTTAAAACTGCTGAGTCCACCTGCAACAAGAGAGAGGGATTGTTTTTTTTAATGAGAGAGAATGGAAGGGGAGGTTAGAAGCGATTCAGAGCTCAGTGCTGACAAGCAAAGACATAGCTCTACTGTTTCTGAAGCTGTAATTTTCATTTTGTGCCACATGCTGGAAACTCAAATCAAGAAGGCTGTTTGGGAGAGCAAATGATCATGGACCACACAGTCCAAGAATATATTTGCTTAACAGTTGCTCCACTGATCTATTAGCGGCCTCAAAAACAGACAAAGTACCTCTGAGTTGCAGTAGAGACTTGTACTCACTTTATGTATGTAAACCCCAGTACAGGGAGAACTGAAGTACCCTTTCTGCAGGTTGTTAACAACTTTCCCACAAATCTCTTAGCCCACAGGAGATGAACCCAGTACCAGGAAACCAAAGCTGAGAGGACGCCTAACTCTGGTTTGTATGTTCTGGGAAATGGAAACAAACACACAGTTGGTAACTTTTGCTTTTTTTTTCCATTCAGAAGGATAACTTCTGAATAAAACCCTTTGAATTTCACAATCCAATTTTCCTTCTAATAAAGTTTCACAAATCTGCTTCACAAAGAAGAGATTACCCAACGAGAGGATGGTTGAAAGGCAGGGGTACACGCAAGACTGAACATTTCTTTCTAGCGCCTGAGCAGGCTCAGGATTGCCCTCTGTTCTCTAGCCATTGGGACACCGATTCTGAAGAGAAAAGTAGAAATGTGAAAACTTCTTTCCCCTCAATCCAAAAGGACTTCAGCTGAGGCTCCCCACCTGCCTGGTTGCCATGGCATTGACACAAAGACATAGAATGACATCAGCTCTTTGAGTGCAAACAATGCAGAAGCACCACTTTGTTTAAGGGCTTTTGGTACAACTGTGTGCTTCAGAGCCCATGATGTAATGCTAACAGGTGGTTGGACCAGCTTTTGCCTAAGTGGGAGAAGGAGGAAAAATACAGCTATGTCCCTTCTTGAATGCGTAGGAGATTATAGGTGAGGCTGCTACTAACAACAGAGGAACTCTGTCTTTAATTAAGGAGAAATGCTGCTTTTAGCAAACTGGGCAAGCAGACGTTTGAAAAGTGCAAGATGTCTTGCACAGAACAAAGTCATCTTAACAGAAAGTATTACTTCCCATAAGCACACTGAAAGTGAAGAATGGTAACCTAAAGGCAGTCATGTTCCAAAACAATAGTCACACTATTTCATCCATTGATGATGTTCTTTGTCAAAACAACTTAAAAAAAAGGTTTAGACATTCCAAACTAAGTTCTCAAAGAAAAATACTAAATATAACACTCCATAAAAAAAAAAAAAAAGACTAGCTTGTATTGCTCACAAGGTGAGCATCAAGTACTAGAATACAGGTGAAGATGTCATGAGAAATCAAGAGTTTGATTATCCTAATAATTTAGCAGTTTGCTCAATTCATTTGAAGACCTCCTCCCCACAACCCCTATGGGGTTTTGCTACTTTGTTAGCCAACAGAGAGATATTATGATCAAGATCTAAAGTAATTTGACAAAGGCATCTCAGAAAGATCAGATTCTTTTGCTCTAAATTCTATTCAAGCTCTTAAAGGCTTCTTCCTTTCAGTCTGGGGAGAACAGTGGGAGAAACCTCGAAACATTTCAAAGGAGAGGTCAGCATCACCAATTGCAACTTTGGCTTTAGCCAGAGGAAATCTTTTTTTTTTTCTTCTTCTCCATATTATGAATACCCTTAATTTCTTTAAGTATGTGCAATAGTTCTTAGGTAGGCTATGAGTTTTTCCACAAAAAAGCTTTGTCCCTAATGATGGCTTGATGGAAAAATGCAACCAGTGCACACTTTTCTACTTGCATAATCAAGTGGAAAGCTATACCTACTCCAAGTCCACACTGAGGTTTTTGTTGCTATTGTCATTAGGTCTAGAGTAAAAGGTAGGGGCTCTCTCCAAAATGATTAGCAACTCAACTGTAAGAAAAGCTTCCATGCTACATAAGAGAACATGGCTGGAAAACCTGTGGCTCTCTCTAGACATTGCTAACAATGTATCCTTCATCACTGGCCAAGTTTTTTGGAAGTGCTGTGTCCACTTCAGCAACATTTGAAAGGCCACAGGTTCTCCAACTCCCATAAAAGAGTTTAGGAACAACTGACATAAATGCAAGCAAAGCTCTGGTGATGGTCTTGTAACTGTCCACAAGATTACAGTGTCTCCACCCCAAGACATGATTTAGACATGATTACAACAAACTCTTAGTTTAACTGATCTCTGATACAATGAACTAGGCGATGGGTGATGGATTATAATTGCCAGGAGGATCAGGTATGCATGTCTCATATTTGAGTTCCTGATAAGAGGAGGGGGGGGGAGGGAAGACACTTGAAAGATTGGTCAGAGGGGTGGGTACCACTCTGAGGCAGCAGTGGGGTTAAGGGAACGAGGCTGGGAAGGAAGAATGGGTGGGTGATGTGCTGGGGCAGTAGCTGAGGGTGAGGGAAAGGAAAAATGCTGGGAAATTGATAGATCAGGCAGGCAGGTGGATAAAAGTTGGCAGCAAATATAATTCTTCTCCCTCACCTTGGTTCCTATCCCAATCCATAGTTTCTCGCTGACAAAACAATAGGAGAAAAAACAGTTGTTCAACAAACCCTAAGGCTCGTGCTAAGAATGATGCCCCTCAGAGGGCTATCTTTGAAGTGTCGTTAGCCAGTCTCAGATTTAACAAACTCTCCTTCCTCCAAACTGTATTTTAAAATAAGATTTTACTATGTTGACGCTACGGAGAAAGCTCAAATGTGAGGGGAGGGGAGGCAGCACAGGTGCCTGCAATTAAACAGCCTGCTCATCCACAATTCCCAGTTTGATCTCCGGGATCCTAATGTTATTTTATGGTGTTCTACATGATCACCACCTCTTTTTTTTCTTAAGAGAATGAATATCGACCAATGTTTCCTCTAAAAACCCTTAACAATATTTAACTTTCACACCTGTCACACCTGTCCCTTTTAATGGTTTTGGAATAGAGGAGGAGATGAAAGGGAAGAGAACACAATGATACTCCCAGCACCAGCATGCTTTTGTTTAATAAGTAAGTAAGTATATTTCCATATATTATAGGTGCAAGAGTTGGGTTTGGAGGGAGGCTATCAGTGTTCTCAGACACACATTAATATCCACTCCAACATGCAGGTGCACAGAGAAGAAAGGCTGGGGCTCTGGGAGCACTCTTCAGACCCAACGTTTCATGGAATCATAAGAATTGGAAGATATCTTTGAGATCATCTAATCCAACTAGAGGATCCAGTAGAACAGTGTTTCTCAACCTTGGCCACTTTAAGATGGGTGGACTTCAACTCCCAGAATTCCCCAGCCTCAGTGTTTCTCAACCTTGGCCACTTTAAGATGGGTGGACTTCAACTCCCAGAATTCCCCAGCCTCAGTGTTTCTCAACCTTGGCCACTTTAAGATGGGTGGACTTCAACTCCCAGAATTCCCCAGCCTCAGTGTTTCTCAACCTTGGCCACTTTAAGATGGGTGGACTTCAACTCCCAGAATTCCCCAGCCTGTGTGTGTGTGTGTGTGTGTGTGTTTTGATCACACAGTAATCATAGCAGGCAATAACTTTAGAAAAGTGCGATGCAAGAAAACCTTATCAGATGAAGAGTTCATAAGAACTCTAAAGCGTGTATACTTTTTGGGTACAGCTATGGACATTGGATTTTTGTCATGGACCAGCATGTCTATGCATTCTGATTTTATTCATACAATAAATGTTGATAAGAATAACGTGGCATCAGATATTGGGAGACAACCTTAGCCAAGAGGTTCATCTTCAAGATATGTCAAAAACATGGTACAGGTGGCCCTCAGTTTAAGAACGAGTTCCATTCCCAAGGTCTGCCCTTAAGTCAAATTTGTATGTAAGCTGGAACAGTATTATATAATACTGTATAAGGAGTATTGTGTGATGAACTCGAACCATTGTGTATTAAACTTGAATTTTGCTACAACAGACTTCGTTCTTAACTATGGGCCATCTTTAAACCAGTTGTTCTTAACCCGGGGACCACCTGTACAGTACATGGGATTGCCGGTGTTTCAGAGCATCAAAGCCATAGTCAAAACTTATTTGGCAAATTGCAATAGCTGGGTTGTTGTACTCAGGTTTACTTCTGCTCTGCCACACTTAGGATTGCTGTCAAAACCTACACTCAGTAGTGGTAAGAATTCATGAGAATCGTCTTATTTGTCCCTCAGACCATACACGTCCATTTATTTGGGGTATAAAAGGCTAGAAACTAGAAGAGGAGGCGCTTTACACCTAACTAGCAAGATGAGCTTTGAGCCATGCCCCTCCAGGATGGAGGCAGGATTCAAAGTCCAAGCAGAATTTCTAGTGGAAATAGGACAATATTCACAGCCAGCCAACAGTCAGCAAGTGAGGTAGAATTCCTTGGTGCAATTCAGGGTGCTGGCTGGACTTTCTCTTAACTGGAAAAAGGGGGTCCCATAAATAACCATGGCTCAGGGCCTGGTTATTTATGGGACCCCCTTTCTCCAATTATTTCTACCTGTCCCGTAAGATGAAGCAGATGAAACAGTCCCATCTTGTAGGATCCTGGAGCCATGCTTTCTCTACCATCATCCCCACATTTTAGAATATTGTGGCCTGGAGGTTCACCTGGCCCTGACCTTAATGTCCTTTGAAAAGCTCTAAAAACTTGCTTTCTGAGACCAGAGGCCAGTGTGATGTGTGATCCCAATACATATTGGATAGCTGATAGTTAGGTGCATTTTTCCCCCCCAATTCATTGTATTTGTCTATGTGATTTTATATTGTATTTGTACACTCTTTTATGCTGCCTCGAGTCTTCAGATTTGGTGGCCTATAAATCAAACTAAATAAATCTCTCAAGAGAAAGATGGAGACAGAAGAAAACCCGGAGTTTCCGCTGAATGTTCCTCAATTGTTTTTCACAAGAAATACTCATCTTTAATCAGCAGT